GGATTCACAACCATCTATAAAAATTAAAATAAAAGACATATATATATATATATATATATATATATATATATAAATCTAATATAGATACAAATCTAAGGTGTTTAGGACCAACTTAGTCTTCCAATATTAAATTTTCGCACCAATGAGTTAGAAAACTTACTCTTCCTTGTTTAGAAAGACACTTTCACATCACATGGGTGCAAACATATCTTCGCTCCTCAAGTTTCTTACTTTTCCATTTGCAACATTGATGACATGAAGTTTTCAGAAGGTAGAGATTAAAGATGACCAGAAAGATCAAAGATCAAAGATTAACTCTTATTTAAAAAAAAAAATCAACTTTTTACTTTTTTTTATTTTAAATAATCATATTTATTTTTTTCCAAAGAATTCTCTCATCTCAATCAATTTAAATAATTATTGAAAAAAGAGAATTTAAGATTGTAATCTTATTACACTTTCCATCCTTTTAATGAGATAACTTAAATTTCAATTAGAAGAGGGAGGAGATGATGAAAGTGAGATAATCTGTCTTCTTTATTTTTTGATAAAATTTTTACCAAAAATGAGATTTAACAATGTTGTGGCGGAGGAAAATTTTTGACATGAACAATAAATTAAATAACTAAATAAAAAAATCAAACAAAATTATAAATTAAAGTTAAAATATAAAATAATGACTTCACCTATTATTTTAAACTTTTATAAGTATAGATAGAAAAACAAAATATTATTTTAAAGAAATAGATAAAATTTGTACAAAAAAGGACAAATAAAAGTAAATATACAATTTTTTTTTTCTGTACAACTAATGTCGTAAATTACTCATCATTAATCTGATCCAAAAATTAATCATGATGGATGTTTATGAGAATTATGTATGTAAGAGTGATATATCTATTCCATCACAAGCTCAAAACTACTAGTCATGATGTTATCTTGGAATCCAATGTTTCATATTATTATAAATTCATTTGCATGAGTTAGTTGCATTGAATATTTCGTTTATTAATCTTCCATGTGACGCTATATGGGATATATTGCCTCCAAACTATTGGTGTTTTGGTCCATCGATCAAGGAACCATTGAATTTTCAAACCTCACCTTTACCATGCTATTAATTTAAAATAGTTTGTGTTTTGGTCCATCGATCAAGGGACCATTAAATTTTCAAACCTCACCTTTACCATGCTATTAATTTGAAATAGTTTGTTTCATCGTACTGTAGTAAAGTCTTGAACCTCACAAAAAAATAAAAAGAGGACTTTTGTATATGAGCATTTTAAAATAGAAATATATATCCAATAAAATATTAGATGCAAAGTTTAATTAAAAATAATATATTAGATGCATTTTAAATAAATAATACAATTTTAACATATTTTAAAAAATGTATCACATTCTTTGTTCATGTTATTGTTTATTATCAATAAATAATAGTTTAAGACAGAATATATATATAAATAATACAATTTTAACAAGTTTTAAAAAATGTATCACATTCTTTGTTCATGTTATTGTTTATTATCAATAAATAATAGTTTAAGACAGAATATATATATATATATATATATATATAATAATAATAATAATAAAAGTTACTCTAAGAATAATTCTTGATAGAGTTATTTCACTCAATAACTCATAAATTCATGGTTTACATTGAATTTTATCAATCTAATTGTTGAATTAAGTTTTTTTTATTAAATAAATCAAGTCTACAATTTTGTTTGTAAAGTTTGAAAACTATATTTTTGATATTTTATTATGTAAATTCAAATAAATGTATAATATATTTTTATGAGCATATTTTAATTTGAACTTATGTAACAAAATATCAAATAATTTTTAAATTTGACAAAAATTTCTAAAATTATTTTTTTAAAAATACTTTAATTCATTGGTTCAGTCATTGAAATTTAAAATATATCACAAGTTATTGAGCGAAATAATTATATAAGGAGTTATTTTTGAAATATCTTTATCCTCACCCTATATGAGTAAATGATTTTTATGAGTATACATTAATTTGATTTATATAATGAAATATTATATAATTTTTAAATTTTGTAAAAAATTATAAAATTAATCTATTTAATAAGAATTTTAATTTGACGGATAAATCGTGAAAAATTTGTATATATCACAAGCTATTAAATTGAGTAATTTTACAAAAAAATTACTCTCAAAATAACTTAATCCCCATTAATATGGAGAACCTATTATATTAGCTTTTATCCAAAAAAAATGGAAACTTATTTTTAATTTGCATATAAATTAATTTTAGTTTTAATTTATGAAGAAAATTATTTATTTTTTTATTTATATTTTTATATTTTAATTTTTTTTGAATAAATTTATCAAAAACATGCCTATAAAATAAGTTAGAATAAATTTTGTAGTTAATGAAAAATGTTGGAAATGAAATTAAAAATGTTTCGTAATAGTGTGATAGTTAATGCACGTGATGGAAGTGTCCTACCAGTGCAGACAAAGAGCACTTGCATTAGACAATATGCAACCAGTCCAGCCATGAATTAGTTGTCCATCTAGGCCCAATTCCATCAAACCTAACTGCTCATTTAAGTCGATAAGAGAAACACTCTGTTTTAGACAACACAACACCCTCATATAAGTTTATTTAAACCAACCATTTTACTCTTTTTTTTTAAAAAAAAATTGAAACTTATTTTGTGGTTTACGTTCAAAAATATTATATTTGGTTTGGTCATTTAGAGTTAAAATTATTTGATATTTTTAAGTTTAAAAATTACTTCTAAGTTTTTGTCAAAATCTTTTGATTTGAAATAAACAAAGAAAAGAGAAAGTAAAAACTAAAATTAATTATATCTCTCTCATAAGTATTTCAACCAACACTTTGTCACTAGTTTTAGATTTATATGTCAATCATTTGGAGTCATTAATTTACTGCTGCAGAAACTTTTATACTTATTCAATATTGAAAACAAAAGGTCCACTATTTATTTCCAGACTAATTTTTTGGACATATGGACCTCGGGAACAAAAATGACTTTTTGTGTGAATTTGAACATAACGGACTAATTATGAAATTAATTATTTTCATAAAATTATTTATATATATATATATTAAAAGTAAACTAACCCAATTTTTGATTAGAATAAGATCTTATGATCGAATTTTGTTCTCTTAATTATGATATATTAAAAAAATTAGAGTCTTAACCTGGCTGCCATTTTGATCGAGGTAAAAGTAAAACGGGTTGGTTATAGAGCTGAGATGAATGCAATAAGAGAGTTATTCACATGAAATGCCAAATTAAAAATTAGAGAATAATACTTATTGCACCTAGGGCATGCAACTATTTTGAAATTTATTTAATTATTATTTTTATATTCTTTATTCACTATCTAGAAGTCAAATAAATTATAAGGCTATATCTTAGGACAAATTATTAAAGTTATCTAATATTTCACATGTTTGATTATTATGAAGACAAAATAAATATGACTCTATCGTCAATTTTTTCTTCTTCAAAGTTTTCTTCAATAAACATTGAAAAATACTTACGATAACTAATTATGATCACAATTCACAACCTTTTATATAATGTGTATTGCTTTTTTTTTTTTTATTTTTTTTTATTTTAAATAATCATTCAGAAAACAATGTGTAATGATTTCACTTGGGAAGTAAGGGATAATAATGTGTATCTTTCTCGGATGAGTTTTATGGCTTTAACAGCCTTTGGTATTGGGCTTACTGGGGCCAATGGCATTCCATGAACAATTACATTTAAGGGTAGACAGATATTATTATCTTGATGTTTTACATGGACCCAACTCCCTAGAATTGATAACAGAGAAAAGAATTTACCATAGTCACGGTTTTAAATTCAACAGTAGCCACAACATCAAGAATTGTTGACTCATCGTAATTGCATCACTATTGCAATGACAGTTACAATAACACTACTTTTTTTTAAGGTTTATAACATGATGTTGAACCAATTGAATTATATTTTATGTACTTTTATCGGTTGATCATACAACAGATTGCCTTTGACACATTTTCATAACTAATTGGACTCATAACTAAAAAACTTCAGAGCCAATGATATGTTTCAATAAATAATTTCCGGGTTTACATTAGAATATTACATGCATCATGATTATATAGATGGAACTCATAGCACCGAAATCTTTTTAAGCATGGTCCTAGTTAGTTTAAGAAAGAAAGCAAAACATGGAAGCAACATTGAAAATTCTTCTACAAAAGGGGAAGTCACATGTTTGGTGAAGTGGCAACGTCTTGTTCTATATTATTACAAAGGTTTCATACGTGGATCGAGAAGAACTGTGTAAATATACACACACAAACAAACACATTATGTCCCTCTTCGTCCCAGATTTCAATTATATACACATGGAACTGTACCAATCCCAACCATACTTCATCTCTTTCCATCAACTATTTTGAAAACCATTAAAGTTTAAGCAGATATATAGGAACGTGATTTTATTTTAATATCCTAAAAATGACTTCAATTTCAATCTTATTGGAATTATTAAGACATTAGAAATAATATATCTGAAAATCTTTCTCAAAATTAAACTTACCTAATAAAATGTTATTCTAATTCTTTCTAACACACCTAAAATTCATCAACCCTCATAAATAAGCCCCTAATCATTATATATGAGTATAGAATAATTCGATTGTATAAGAAAACTTTTATAGATTGTATAAGAAAACTTTTCAAACATGCGTCCGAGAAAAAGATTAGTCTCTAATTCAATGAGTACACTTGACAGAAGAAAAATAAAGTATGGAAAATATAAAGTATGGAATGGAAGCATTTATGTTGGAAACCAAACATGCAGACCAGCATCTCACAACTTATTGCTGTGTGGGTGTGTGGATGGCGACGATTTCAATATATATTTGGAAAAAAATGAGTGAAAAAGATAAAGAGATGAGAGACATTAGCACACTAAAGCTTAGCTGTGATTTTTCCGCGAGTGTACCTACTTAGTCCCCACCACATCCAATAATTCATTAAAACCCTTCCAACCCCTTCTATGGTTTTTTCTCCCTATAAATCATCCCAACCTTTGCTTCTTTCTCCTAATAATTTCAAGTTTTAACAAAATTTAATTTGAGCATGCCACATATGTCTACCTTCACCACCTGCTTCTTTCTCTTGATTCTCATCCTCGCTCTCCCTCGTTCCTTAAGAGGTTTGCGTCTTCAATTTACATACACAAGCTAGTTCACATGCATGCATGTTTATACTATAATAAGGTTTTATTTTGTTGGTGATATTAGTTAATTGTGAATGTTACGTTACAGGAGAATCAGAGATATATGAGATTGATTATAGAGGACCTGAGACCCACTCATCGGTTGTTCCTCCTCCTCATCACTTTCATATTGGAAAGCCTAAGCCTCAAAAGGGTTCAGTTAGAGGAACCAAAGCTTTGGCCTTGAGGGACACTACTTACATACAAAATAATAAGGCAAGTCTTCTATCATTCTTCAAACTCATTCAATTTCTCCCTTTAAGTATTCATGATCTAGGATTTTAAATTAAAAACATAGGACACGGGATTAATTAATGAACATAGAAGATTTAGTATGTGTTTGGTTTTCACACCAAACTAACAAATACTGGTGGATAGTTAAAAGACGTGGGCTATCTTCAACCCAACATTTTTTTTCAAACACTGTTAATGTCCGAGACAACTTTTGCCGTTATTTCATGTTTTCATCTGTCTGAAAATATTTATAATTTCAAATTCTGAAAAAGACATTTTTTTATAGGTAGAAATTAAGATGATAATAATAAAATTTAAAATTATGATTTAGTGTATATTATTCCAACTCTACTATTAGACCGTAGTGATCCAATTTTAGGAATAAATTAAGAAAATTATTAAACAACATAAGAATGTAAGTTGATTTTACTATTTATTCCTTTACATTAATAAAACCAAAAAATAGTTAGGAAAATAAAAATCCTTTATTTTTAAATAAAAATAATTTAAAGCAAATTAAAGCTTCTAAAATTATAATTATTTTGATATAAAAGGAAACAATCACCGGAGTTGAATTCCCTGTTGTTCATTTAAATTACACGAAATACAGACATGGATCTAGCAGTGATGGATCTGTAGAGAATTTTCTTTCTTTAATGTAAAAGGTATTTTATAAGGCTAAGATCACCATATAGTTAAATTTTAAATTGCAAAACATCTTTATCCAAAAAATATTGAGGTATACGTGATGTCTTAATTTTGGATTTTCAAACAAATTTTAATTCAAAGAAAATCATGTAATGTACGTACTAAATTTTACATGAAATTGAAATATATTATGTATGATAAATTTTTTATTTTTATTTATAATAATTACTTTAAAAATCATGTCAACATTTCAATCATTTTTTTTACACTATAGTTCGTACAAATTAGGTTCCAATAGTTTGAAATCCAATCAAGCAAACAATTATTTAGCGAGAGAATTAACGAAGCATATATCTTTTTTTTTTATTTTTTATTCTTTCATCTAGGTTTTGGATCAGTTTTTTTTTTTTGTTTTCATCTTCTTCTTTCATATGTATAATTTTTAAGGAAAAGTATTTTATATTTAGTTGCTCATTAATTTAAATTTTAAAAAAATATTAGTTATTATTTTAAATTATTATATTTATCTTTTTTTTTTATTTAAGATTTAACAAACTTATTATAAACAAGGAAAAAAAATAGACGGGGATAGCAGCAGTTTATTTGTTTTTTAATTTTAAATATTAAATATAAACAAAACTTTTTACAAAATCTAAAACAAAAACTATCAATAGTTTTAAGAATAAAAATATTTAACCCTACATTTAATTTTGTTTTAAGTAATTGCTCGAAACATATATTCCAATCCTCCTTTAATATCTAATTGCTCTTTTCTTGTGCAGGTTAAGAAAGTTCATGGATGATCAAGAAGCCTTACGGATTAAATGGAGTATGACTTTAATTTGTGATCTCAAACAGAAATATAGTTAATGCATGATTGTAAAGTTGAGATACTGTGTATCAGTATGTTTGTTCATGTGTATAATTGATAATAGAAAAAGAAAAAAAAATTGAACATATATCAAATTTTGAAGCTGGAATGATTGAAGGTGTGGGACTGTGAATCAGGTACATTAAAATTTAGTGCATGGATGATTAATTAATGGAGAAGGGTATATAGGGATTGGTGAAATTGGACGACAGAAACATGCAGCTACAAATGCATCATGTCTCAATGTCATCATGCCAGCGAAGCTTTATCATCTCAATATTAATGCTTTCGTCCATTTAAATTAGATTCATAAATACTGATATAGGCTTAAATAAGAGAGTGTTGACTCCTATAGCCCATCAAATAAATTGAGTTGGCTCAAATATTTCAAGTTTCAACTCTCTGATCCTTCATAAATAACTAAAATTTGACATGTACTTTGCCAATTTGATAAGTCAAATAAAAGGTTGCATTGGATTATTTCTTTTCTTTGTGCTTAAATTACTGTTGGTATGTTTATAAATTTTTATTTATCTTTGTAATACGTTTTTTATTTATTTTTATTTTATTAATGGTGATCGACTTATTTGAGAAATTATAGTTATATGTATTATGAACTTATTTTCATAGTATCGAAGAATTTATTTTTATGACAAAACTTAAACGTAGTATTATAGGTGTTATTTTTTTAATTAGAATAACAGTTTTACGTTAGAAACATGTATTTATATTTAACATAAATCTTAATAATATATATTTCACATATTATTAAAGTAAAAATTTAATTCTGATTAGAAAATAATATTAACCATTCTTATGGTCTTGTATCTAAAATTTGAATATCATTTTATTAATATTTCTAAATTTATTAAGAATGTGTTTGATTGATCATTCAAATCATTACTAATTTTAGAATTTTTTTCCTTTTTAATTATTTGACAAAATATTTTGAGAAAAATCAAGAAATTAAAATGATAATTTATAATTTTAGCTAAATTATAATTTTGGTCTCTCTATTTTTGTCGATCCATAATTTTGATTCTTCTATTTTAAAATAAAGACATTTAGTTCCCTATTTTATAAAATACGAAATTTTGGTATTCCCATGATGGATCCAAGTAGAAGAGATGAAACGATGAATCTCCCTTGCTTGTATCCGCACTTGCTCTCCTCCTTGAGACCTTGGATTTGGACGGAAGGAATGAAGAAGAAGACTAGGTTTGAAGATCCTAACCTTAGATGGAAGCACTCTAGCAAAGAGTGCCAAGGAAAGCTCACAAAAGATTCGGATCCCTAAAGCTAAGGCTAGAACTTGGGTGGGCTTTTTCGCCATTATAAATTTAAAAAAAATTAAAATTTCTAAAATAAATTAAAAAAAAATAATTTACCAAAATAAATACTTTTCGCCATGTTAGATAGGAGAGAGAAACACATGCATGTAGGATATACGTAGGAACACAAAACGTCATCTTTAGTGATGTTTTGTGCAGATGAAGCAATGAATGAAAAACATCAAGGGCATTGACGTTTTGTGTAGAATGTAAAATTAATGGAAAACGTCAAGGGTATTGATGTTTTGTGTAGAATGCAAAATGAATGGAAAACGTCAACTAGGATAACGTTTTCTTTACATTCGAAAAGTTTTTGACCAATTAACATAGAATAATCATGCAGCGAATCATGCACGGGAACGCAGAAGAATCAATGCAGGGGAATCATGTAGGAGAAACAGGGAAAAGCAACGAAAACATGGGTTGTATGGTATTGTAGAAGACGTCAATGGTTTGGATGTTTTTGGATGAAAGGTAGGCGTCACATAAGGTGACGAATTCCGTGCCACGTACCTTAACCATGCCATGTGTCTAACGTGCCTTGACATGTGTGTTACGTGCTTTGATGGATGCTTGACATGTTTCTTACGTGCATGTGTGTTGCGTGGCTTGATGGATGGCTTCACATGTTTCTTACGGCCTTGATGGATGGCTTACATGTGATTTGAGGGCCTTTATTCGATTAAAGGTAGGCGTTACATAAGGTGACGAGTTCTGTGCCATTTGTGGATACAACAAGACGAGTTATGTTCCTACTCTCACCAGTTACGTTCCTACGAGTTACATTCCTACACTCACCAGTTATGTTCCTACGAGTTACACGCTCACCAGCTAGCTCCCTGCAACGCGCACATGGATATATAGAAAATGTTAGTGAAGATGACGTTTTCTGTATAAAGCCTGCTGCACAAGTCTCTTCTTGGCAGATGGGACACATAACAAAACGTTAGCTAGGGAGACGAGAAGCTCGTGTTCACTAAACGTCAGGTTAGTGAAAGGGTGGTACACAAAACGTCAAAGCCTTTGACGTTTTCCATTCATTATAGCTTCTACACAAAACGTCAATACCCTTGACGTTTTTTCCATTCATTTTGCATTCTACACAAAACGCCAATGCCCTTTACATTTTTCATTCATTGCTTCATCTGCACAAAACGTCACTAAAGATGACGTTGTGTTCCTACATAACGACCCGCCTAGCCGTTCCACAACAACAACACCACGCAGAATAGAGCATACATATATAAAAATAGAATCTATACACATATGTGTAGCCTGGGGCTCAAAGTCAAAGTACAAAATACAGCCAAATTGCTACACTAAGTAGCCTACAATAACCAAATATCATCTTTATCTGCCAGCTGTAGACTTGCTTCAATACACCAACCTATCCTTGCTCTGCTCCCACATACAGTATGATCATTGCAGTCCAAACCACATGGAAACAACAAGGGTAAGCTAATGAAAAGAATCAACATATATATATAAATACAGAAATTATAAACAGCTACAGCTTATCAGCACATCATTAAGTTCAGCAAGATCAGCATACAACACATCACATATACAACTCACATCATTCAGCAAAAACAACATTAAACAAACAATGCTTCGTCACGCATATCAGCTCAGAGATCTCCTACAACAGCTCAGCCTTACGGCCTACAACAGCTCAGCCTTACGGCCTACAACAACTCAGCCTTACGACCTATAACAATTTATATTCAGCATTCAGCACAGCACAACATAGCAGCATTAACAACATACAACATACGGCACAACTCAACTTTTACAACAATACAGCTTAAACATCATAATTCAGCATGAACACTCATAGCACAACATAATCGTCACTTAGCTCAACAACATTCATCATTAACAGCTTAAATCAGCATATATCAGCATATATAAAAAAAGAACACATCCGCGCCCGGCGCAAGAGTACTCGCGCCCGGCGTGGACCAACCAGAGAGCTCTAAGGCTCTCACGTGCCTAGCGCAATGAGCGCAACCAAAGGCAGAGACTCTCAGGAGTCTCACCCGCCCGGCGTACCAAACCCACGCTCGGCTTGAGCAAGGCAGAGACCTCACCAAGGTCTCACGCCCGACACAATACCAATTGCGCCCAGCACCACCCCTGGCAGAGACTCCCAGGGAGTCTCCACGCTCGGCGAGACATAGTCACGCCCAGCGCCATACCAGAACCCCAAAATGTGAGTCTCTGTCTGATATCACGCCCAGCGTGGTCCAACCACGCCCGGCGTGAGCCATCCAGAGACCTTCATTCCCAAGCTCGCCCGGCGCAACCAGGCTTTTTCCCGGCGTGCTTGACCAATGGAACCCTCTGATGGTCATGCACCCGGCGCCAAGAACTACGCCCGACGTATTATCAAACAGCAACCCTCAAACTTCAAAAATTTTCACCAAAACCTGCCAAAAGAAGCAATCCAAGCACATGCAATCCACCGAAAACACCTCATTTTCATCAAACAGCTCAAAAGTCACAACTTTATCAACATGCAACCATCAAAACATGAAAATTCCAAATTTTCACCCTTTTTCCCCAAAACCCCGAAAACGAATTTTGCCTCAAATCAGCCCAACCATCTACTGAAAATCAACCACACATGAGTTTTAAACTCATTTCCAACCAATCTAGCAAAAACCTAGCGTCCCTTACCTCGGTGGAGAAGAAATCCGAGTTCCGGGAAAGTAGAGGAGAAGAGAAAGACGAACGGAGAAGAGAGACGGAGAAGGAGAAGTCCACGCCCTCGGCTAGCTTCCAGCACAACTACTCAACACCTACAACACCGAGGTTTGAGAATTCTGAGACTAAGACAAGGAGAGTGGGAAGGAGAGAGTAAGAAGAAATGGTAAGTTGAGAGAGAGAGGAAGAAGGAGTGGAGTCTCACAACCTCCCCAACAATAGAAATTTTCGTCCCCGAAATAGACTTACTTGGGAATAGGGAAGGATACTGTTGTCTGCACTGCTGCTCAACTTCCCAAGTAGCCTCACCAGTAGCTGCATCCCACAACACCTTCACCAAGGCAATGGACTTGCCTCTCAACTCCTTCATCTTGTAATCAACCACAACTACAAGCGACTTCTCAAAAGTCAGATTCTCCTTCACCCGCACACCATCCAACTCAACCACATGACCAGGGTCATGAACATGCTTCCTCAGCTGGGATACATGAAACACATCGTGTAGGTTTGAGAGAAACGGTGGCAAAGCCAACCAATAAGCGACCGGACCCACACGATGGATGATCTGATAGGGACCAACACACCTAGGTGTCAACTTCTTGGCCTTTAGCGCTCTACCCACATCAGAGGTTGGGGTCGCCTTCAGAAATATATGTTCTCCTTCAGCAAACTCCAAAGGCTTTCGCCTTTTATCAGCATAAGATTTCTGCCTACTCTAAGCAGTCTTCATCCTCTCCTGAATCAACTTCACCTTCTCAGTAGTCTGTAGGATCAGCTCCGACCCCACAACCACTGACTCATCATCTTGATACCAGCACAGAGAAGTGCTACACCTTCTACCATACAAGGCTTCAAATGGCGCCATCCCAATACTAGCATGAAAGCTATTATTGTACGTAAACTCCACCAGCAGTAAGACTTCCTCCCAGCTTCCCAAGTGGTCTAACACACAAGCCCTCAGCAGATCCTCCAAGGACTGAATTATCCTCTCTAACTGACCATCCATCTGTAGATGATAAGCAGAACTCAACCTCAACTTCGTGCCTAAGGCTTGATGTAGACTCTACCAAAATCTGGAAGTGAACCTCAGATCTCTGTTTGAAATAATATTGGAAGGCACCCCATGCAACCGTACTATTTCCCTCACATACAACTGCGTCAACTTCTCCAAGGACCACTTGATGTTGACAGGCAAGAAATGTGCACACTTTGGTCAACCGATCAACAATCACCCAGATAGCATCACTATTCCTAGCCGACCTAGGCAATCCCACAATGAAATCCATAGTGATACTATCTCACTTCCATTCCGGAATCTCCATCTGCTGCAACAAACCACCAGGCTTCTGGTGCTCCACCTTTGCCTTCTGACAAGTCAGACAGACCGCCACATATTCAGTAATGTCCCTCTTCATACCAGACCAACAGAAAGTCTTCTTGAGGTCTTGGACATCTTTGTCATACCTGGATGTATGCTAAGTCTACTCTTGTGGCCTTCCTCCATAACAACTTTCTTCAGCTTAGAATCATGAGGTAGGCAAATTCTGCCCTTAAACCTCAAAATTTCGTCTCCGCCCAGCTCAAAACCAACCGCCTTCTCAGTACCTAGCAAACCAAGAATCCGCACCAACTCTGCATCCTGTAACTGCTTCAACCCAACCTGCCTCAAGAACTCACTAGTTATGGTTGTCATCCCACAACTAATGTGATCATGAGCTAGCTTAACATAAAGATTCAAATCTCTAAATTCCTCCACCAGCTCAAGCTCTTTCACCATCAAACTCGACATGTGGATGGATTTCCTACTCAGTGCATCCGCCACAACATTGGCCTTCCCAGGGTGATACATCAGTTGAAAGTCATAATCCTTTAGAAGTTCCATCCATCGCCTCTGCCTCATGTTCAGCTCCTTCTGATCAAACAAGTACTTCAGACTCTTGTGATCACTGAAGACACTGAACCGAGCACCATACAGATAATGCCTCTATATCTTCAAGGAAAAAACAACTTCCGCCAACTCCAAATCATGAGTAGGATAATTCCTCTCATGGTTCTTCAGTTGCCTTGAAGCATATGCCACTACTTTCTTGTTCTGCATCAACACACACCCTAATTCTTGGTGAGAAGCATCACAATACACATCAAAAGGCTCACCAGAATCAGGCAACACCAACACAGGAGAAGTAGTCAACCTTCTCTTCAGCTCATCAAAACTCCGCTCATAGGCATCTGTCCAAATGAAAGGCTGATCCTTTCTTGTCAACTGGGTTAGAGGCGCTACTATCTTGGAAAATCCCTCAATGAACCTCCTATAGTAACCTGCTAGACTCATAAAGCTCCGAATATCAGTGACAGTTCTTGGACGCTCCCACTGCAATACCGACTCCACCTTAGCCGGATCAACAACAATTCCCTCAGCTGAAATAACATGGCCCAAGAACTTCACCTCTTCTAACCAGAACTCACACTTTGATAGCTTGGCGTACAACTGCTTCGCCTTCAAAATCTCCAACACCAACCTTAAGTGCTCTCCATGCTCCTCCGGGGTCCTTGAATAAATCAGGATGTCATCAATGAACACCACCACGAATTTATCCAAGAAGGGCCGGAAGATCCTGTTCATGTAATCCATGAACACTGCTGGGGCGTTGGTCACACCAAACGGCATCACAACATACTCATAGTGACCATACCTAGTCCTGAAAGCAGTCTTAGGTATGTCACCCTCCTTCACCCTGATATGGTGATATCCTGACCTCAAGTCAATCTTTGAAAACACCAATGCTCCCCTCAATTGATCCATTAAGTCATTTATCCGGGGAAGTGGATATTTGTTCTTAATGGTCAACTTGTTCAACTGCCGGTAATCAACACACAGTCGACTACCTCCATCCTTCTTCTTCATCAACAACACGGGAATACCCCACAGAGATACACTCAGCCTCACCAACTGCTTTTCCAACAACTCTTCCAACTGACCTTTTAGCTCAACCAACTCAGCTGGGCCATTCTATAGGGAGCAACCGACACTAGCCCTGCACCAGGAACCAAATCAATGTTGAACTCCATCTCCCTAGTAGGAGGCAACCCAGGCACCTCATCTGGAAACACCTTAGCAAAATCCTTCACAACCTCAATCTCAGTAATGACCCTCTCGGTCTCCACACTCATAGCAGCAAGTAGAATACAACACTCTGCTCCATCTCTCATCAAAGTTTCAGCTTGGCTAGCTGAAATTAACAACTCATCCTCCACCCGAGGAAAGATCAACCTCTTAGTGGCACAATCTATAAGGATACGATTGGCAGACAACCAATCCATCCCTAAGATTATGTCAATATCTACTAAAGACAAACAAATCAGGTTTACCTTATACCTCTTCTCATTCACCACTATTGGACAACCAACACACATCTCAAAAGCAACCACAGAAGTAGAAGCGGGCGTTTACACTAGCAGTCTCAACCTCAAAGCACATACCGGCACACCCAACATTGCAGCACAAACATATGAAATAAAAGAGTGGGAAGCTCCAGATTCAAATAAAATCATCACATCCTTACCAGCAGCTTTGCCCTTCCCCTTCACAAGGTCAGATGAAGTCAAAGCTTAAGCCTCGATCAAGGCGAATACCCTCCCAGCAGCAACAAGTCTATCACCTCTCGGAGTAACCTTATCCGGTCTATTTCTAGCAGGACAGTTGGTCGACTCATGATCCATCTGATTACACCTGAAACATCGGCTCTCAGTGTGAGGACAATCCCAAACAAAGTGGGGTCTAGCACACCGATAGCATCTGAGAGTGGCACCTCCACCCTGTTTCCCACCTCTAGCAGCATTAGTAGGTTGCCTTATGATAGGACCCCCTTGTTGTGATTGGGGCCTATCATATGGTTTCCTCTGACCTCCACCTTTCTTGGACCTAACTGGTCCCTCAGCAGTCTTCACTACACGGTTGCCACCTTCCAACCGCTCAACAACTTTAGCCTTTTCCACCAAGGCCAGAAACTCAGTGATGGCCATAGGCACCACCACCCTCTTCAACTCTTGTTTCAACCCCTCAGCAAACTTTCGGCACTCCCAAGCTTCAGAAATAGCTTGCGAAAAGAAACGAGCCAAGTGCTCGAATCTCATCGCATACTCAGACACCGACATCCCTCCTTGGTTCAACCGCATGAACTCAGCCTTCTTGGCGTGCCTCACGCTCTCTGGGAAGTACTTCTCAAGAAATACCCTCTTGAAGCACTCTCAGTCAACAACCACTCCTCTAGCAACCAACATGTGGTGGGTGCCTTTCTACCAATGTTCAGCTTCTCCAACCAGCATATAAACAGCATATGCCAACCTCCTCTCTTGAGAACATCCCAACACGGTAAAGATGTTCTCTAGCTCACAGATCCAGTAGTTAGCTATCTCTAGGTCTGCATCACTCTTGAACTGCGGAGGATGGCACTTACGGAACCCAGCTAGATTTCGGCTCTCCTATAACCCAACTGGTCTTGCTGCACTAGCTGTAGCTCTATCAGCATCCATCCTAGCAAAGTAGGCATTCTGCTGTTGCATAGTCATAGCCATCATCTCCATGGCACGGGCTATCTGCTCATTGGTTCTAGTCATCGTCTACAAAAGTAACAACACTTTCAGTATACAATAACTAAACCAGTCAACAAAGAAATCAGCACAACAATCAATACAACACAGAGCTTAGCACAACAAAAGCCTAAAGGACCCACCCCCACGCAGTGTCCACAAGACTCAAACTGCTGTGATACCAAAAAGTGTAACAACCCGCCTAACCGTTCCACAACAACAACACCACGCAGAATAGAGCATACATATATAAAAATAGAATCTATACACATATGTCTAGCCTGGGGCTCAAAGTTAAAGTACAAAATACAGCCAAATTGCTACACTAAATAGCCTACAATAACAAAATATCATCTCTATCTACTAGCTGCAGACTTGCCTCAATACACCAACCTATCCCTGCTCTGCTCCCAAACACAGTATGATCATTACAATCCAAACCACATGGAAACAACAAGGGTAAGCTAGTGAAAAGAATCAACATATATATATATATATATATATATATAAATATAGAAATTATAAACAACTACAGTGATGGAGGAAGCCCATGGGCCAAGGGCCCAACTACTAGGGCTATGGCAAAGAAGATGCATGAAGAGTGGGCCCAAGCCCAAGGAAAGCCCATCTCTTTGTTTTGTTGGGCCTTGACTCAAGCCCAAGTAGATTAGCGTTAGTGTAGGATTGGGCCTTAGTGCCTTGTATTTCTTTTTGGGCCTTATATTTCCGGCCATGTAGCTTAGGATTTGCATTTAGAGGCTATTTGAATTTAGGGTTATTTAGGTTACATGTGAAGTTGCATTAGCATGTAATTAGAATCACATTTAGTGTGCATTTCGGCCATGTGCAACACATGCACATGGTGTGATCCGAAATGCAACTCAAATAGAAATCTAATTACATGCCAAATGAACTAGCACATGGGTGATCCGGGTTTTAGGCACCAAAATTTGAATTTTGAATTCAAATTTTGGGCGCCTAAGGTTAAGTGAACCTTACCTTGGTTCCACTTAACCTTAGGTTAACCCAAGGTCACCTTAACCTAATTTTACCCTATAAATCACTATGGCCGAGACTTGTATGAACACTTTGGATATATTGGATGTGTTTTCTCTCTTTAATTCATCTCCTCCGAAGTCACCTTGACTCCTAAACTCTACCCTTCTTGAGTGCTTCTCCTTGTAGAGCTAGGAACTTTCATCCTCTCTGGACTTAGCTTCTATGCAAGCTTAGGTCACATTGAGCCTTGTGGAGTCTCAATCCTTGAAGCCATTCCAAGGATTTTCGTGAAGGCTTGAAGAGTTCTTGTGGTTTCCAAGTGGAATCACATCAAGTGGTATCAAGAGCATCCAGTTTTCTTCAAGAGATAAGTCTTGTTCTTGTCTTTTGATGTTGTGATCCGTGGTTAATTCTCTTCATTTTTGTGTTCATATTGTTTTGAGTTCTTGTCACATGAGAGTTGCTTCCTTCCTAGATCTATTTTTAGCCTTAAAATTTGATGGATCTAGTTTCTTATGCTTGAATGATTCATTATGCGTTTGAGATAATATGCTTCCATGAATCATGCTCCATTCTTGTGCCTATTAGGAAATTTTCTGCCTATGAACATTTTGCTTTATTTGAGTCTTACTTGAAATTTTGATTCGGTCATTGTATGCTTGAGTCTTATTTTTTTGTTTTGAAATCTATGTCTAGTAGGTTTGTGTAGTCCTTTATATGTTCATCATTCTTAGCCTTGCTTGTGGATCCGTTTGAATTTTTTTTTTGAAGTGAGTCTTGAAACATTTTCTGGATTTGGTCGAGATCCATAGTCATTGGTATAAGCTCATAATTTTTGTTTTACTTTGAGTTCATGAACTACTACTAGATCATTAGTAGTTTTCTTAGAAATTTTTAGGTTTCCAACTTTTGAAAAATGTCTTCAAAATTTTCCTATCCGTGAGTGATTGATCTTGATTGTTTAAAGGAGTGCTGGAATTTGTGTTTGTGTATCAAATTTGAATTTGAATTTTGGAGCCTAAACCGTGCATGTGCCATTCAAACTTGCAAGCATCAAAAGCATGTCACATTTGCCTTGAATTTAAACCTAATTTGGTTGTCATTTGGCACCTCATTTTTGAATCCGATTTTTAGTGTTCCTAAGTGTGACCGAGACCTAGTTGCTACATAAACTTTGAAAGAAAAAGGCAACTCCTAAGATTTAAAAAAAAAATTAGAAGAAAGATCAAAAGAAATTCAAAACAAAATTGATTAAAAAAAAGTGCTAAACCTATTTTGAAAAGCAAAAGCCAATTAAGGAGTTTGGTTTATCATTTGTTTCTTCTCGGTTTGTACTTGTTTTTGAATCATAATATTTTCAACTTATAAATCTTTGAGTATTTTGATTTTGTGCATCCATTCTAGAACTCATCTTAGGACCATTCCTTCTTGTTCTAGTCAAATACTTGTTTTTGTGTCATCTAAATTGTCATCTACTTCTCTACTCTTATCTCTTCACCTCTTAAATTCTCTTTGCTGTTCTTATCATTGATTAAACTCAAGTGTGACCTAAGTTTGACCTAGCCTATCTTCCTAGAAGCTAGTTCTACAAGGGTCATCAAAAGAAGCCTAAGAAAAGGAGGAGGAGAGGACATAGGTGGCTCTCGAATTTGACTACTTCAAAACATACACCATAAACACTCTTGGCTGGAAAAATTGTGGTTGCTGGACTGGATCAGCCGTGAAGACTTTTGGAGATTTAAATTTGAATTTGTAATTGAATTTAAAAAAAAAAAATATATATATATATATAAGAATTAGTGAAGGATTTTAGAGACCAATTTTTACTTACTAGTTTGAAAATTTTGTTGCAAATTTGGTCACTAATCCCTCACTAATTCTTAGTGACTGTTTTTCTAATTTATTTTAAACCACTAGTTCTTGGCTGTTTAACTTTGTCTATACCTTGTAATTGGCCATTTAAAGGAGTGTCTTGGGTGTGTCTTTGGTACACAACCATCTCTCCTTAGGTGTACATTTTCGTTAGTACTTTGTGAGAGTGGTCCTTGATTGATCTTTGGTATCTTTCAAGCTCTCACACTAGGACACGTTTAGGTAGTTTATTTCTTGCTTTAAATACTTGTTTTATTTGCTTTCATTCGTCTAGTTTCTAGTAAATCACAAATCATCAAAAATAATTTTCATTGAAAAGAATTTGGTAGAGATTAACTACAAAGGGGATTAGTAATTTTTACTTGAAGAGGCTTGGTTTTTAAGTGGCTCTTAGTAGCTCACCTCCCTCCAAAGTTCGATTTGTATACTTAATCCTCCAAGTACTTAGTCTTAACTTTGCATAAAAATTGCTTTTCAAACTTCTTTTATCAAAAGAAATCTTTCACCTATAATGGAAGAATTTTCTACTCCTCATAGTGATAGTAATTCAAGTGATAACAATGATCTTGCCAAGTTATCACGTGAGTTAAGATCACTAAAGCTATGGAAAAAGCAAGAATCACAACAAAGAATTAGAGAAAAATTTGAAAGAGAAGCTCAAATTGCTCTTATGGAGGAGGAAATTCGTCTATTAAAGGAAAAAAGAAAAAAAGAAACACCATAGTTGACATAGCTCATACGCCAATAGTTCCACTATAGGAGAGTCAATGCATGATGATAGCCTAGCATTAGGAGATCATTATCAACAACCTCCTAGACGAGTCCAAAGGACCCCAAGCAAAGGGAATCTAGGGTAGATCTCCCTTATTT